GCTTATTTTCAGAAGGTACTTATTTTCAATAATATATAGTAATTAAATAAAATATTATTAACTTATTGCTATGATAATACTTATTAAGAAAGGTTATAATTAACAAAATTTATAAACAAAAAATATATTTATTAACTTAGATAATACTCAATAGAATAATATATATATATTATACTTTTATACTCTCTCTGCTGATCATTTGTACACAAACAAGCAGAAAATAAAAACAGCAAAAACTCATCAAAGGCTATAGAAAATGATCAACAAGGCCTTAAAAAAAAAGAAAGAACAACAGAAACAACAAATATTTAGCTTAGAAACAACTAAGATAGAGCTTATAGCAAAAAAAAATATAAGAAAAATGAAAACTTTGAAGAAATTTTGAACAAAAAGTGTGCGAACCATCTGACCCTAAATGCAAATTGTTAACAGTTATACAAGTACTAACAAAACAAACAAACAAAACATGTAAACAAGCAAGACAACAAACACGCGTAGCAACAGATTATTCTAGAAAGTTTAAGATTAACAACAATACACATGACTCAGTAGACGTTTCTAAAAAGTTCAGAATAGATGATTAAATCACACATATCCAACATAAAGAAGATAGATATTTACAATATGAGACTTTTAGACCCTGTCATACGCCAAGCAGATTCAAGACTGAAATATATCAACTGTGTATTCTTAAACAGATCTTTACAAGAAGCAAGAGAAAGAGAACCAGATGATATAGATCTTATAGCAGCAATCTGCTCAGCAAAAAATTTAGACGAAGAAACATTCAGAATGTTGTCATTATTTGGGCAAGTAAGAGAAGCACTTTTAGCAGTTAAAGACAACATCCCAGATAAGGTTTTACAAAACTGGCGAGAAAAGGCAATGATGACTAAACTGAACTCTGGCTCTATTGACTACTTGGCAAGTATAAGCTTAAAGGAAATAACTAGAGAAGAAAACAAAATAGAAATCATAAAAGAATCTCCAGATATATCCTTAATAGGGAAAAAATACCAATACAGAGAAGGAATGAAAAGTGAAGCAGCAACACAAACTCAAGATGTGAAAATAGATAGCATACAAACAGCAAATGCAAGGATTAGAGATAACAGCCAAACAGCAAATGCAAGTTGTAGTTAAACAAGAAGAAATTTTTTTATTTTCAGATAAGAAAAAAGAAAAAAGAAAAACAGGGAAGAAGCACAAGACGAATAACAAAAATCAAAAAGAAAAAAAACAGAGCAAGATAGAATGATGATTTATCAAGAACCTCAAGTTACAGCAGAAGCAAGCATAAGCAAACAAAAAAGCTAATTCGAAGATTTGATAATCACAGAAATCCCACTAAGTCAAAGCATGTGGGCTTCAAGCAGAAGACCTTGCAGCAACATAGGAGAATACAAGGCAAAGATACCAGCATATAATGTACCAGGCGATGATAAAAAACAACACATCAAAATGATAGAAGGGATGCTAGTAGGCAACAAACATCTCAAAGAAGTAAAAGAAACTTTTACAAACTATAATAAATGGGTAAAAGTCACTTTTGACTGTGAAACAGGAAGGAAAGAAGCCATGGAAAAAATAGAAAAGAAAAATCGAGAGTGGTTTAGAATGATCTCAATCGAATCATAGCAACCAAAGTGAAGTAACAACAACATTACCCACAAAAGTCCAACTACAGTTAAATCAAAGAAGACAGAAAAAGAAAGAAGACAGAAAGAAAATAGAAAAGAATATAGAACGAGTGATTCTTTAGAATCAGAAAACGAAAAATCAAGCACAGAAAAAGAAGAAAACAATGACTTTACATACATCACAATATGGGATTTACCAAAAGAGATAAATCAATTGAAAGTGCAACATGCCTATAAGAAACTAGATAAATTGGTAGAAATACAAATCAAAAGAAGCTTCTTCAAAGTACTAGCAATAATAAAGCTGCAGAAAAAACTAAACAAAGCAGTACCTTGGGTAATCCTAATTGGCGACGAAAAGCTAGCAAGAGTTACAGAAGGCATAGAAGACTTTGAAAAGAGAGACAGCCAGAGTAATATAATAGCAAAATTAAGAAATATATCAAGAGGTGCATCAGAAATACTACTACTTAATAATCTAAGAAACAGAGGAGCCAAGTCAGTCTACATACCACGAAACAGTAATGGCAAACAAAGAGCATTAGCAATCATAGCTTTTGAATATGAAGAAAACAGAGATCAAGCAACATCAAAGTTGGTAAAATACAATAATTGGCTACTAAAGTGGGAAGCTCTATACACAAGAAGGAAAAATGACATAAATGAAAAGGAAGAACCATACCAAAGAAAAAGAAAAGAAGGAGAGAAAAGCGAAACAGATATTAGAAACAACTCAAGAAATAACAAGAAACAAGAATTAAGAGAAGACTACTACAAGAAAACTACAAAGGAAAAAAGAACAAGGATATCAAAAGCAGATTGCAATACTGAAGAAGAATATTCAAAGAAAGAAAGTTTAGAAGAAACCTTAGTAGAGATCTTGAGAAGATTGGAAAACCTAGAGCGGAACCCAAAAAGCAAAGGAAGAGTTGCAAGATGCTCCTAAAAGACGATATAGTTGAATTAAAGAAAGGGGCTGTAAAGAGAAAAACAGCTCAAAAAAGATAAGGAGATGAGGTAAAAAGAATATTTCAACACAAAGAGTTTCTAAAAATTTTAATATAGTATCAATAGGTTTTCACAATATCAATAGTTTAAAGGAAGACACCGAGTAATATATAGATAGGTTAGATCTAAGTTTGCTTATTTTCATATCAAATTTGCTTCAAAAATGCTTATTTTTGACCAAATTTTGAAAAAATTTACTATATAAAAATGCAATGTTTATTGAATTTCTCTTAAAATTTCCTTTTTTAGTAACCACTAACCTATCTATATATTACTCAGGTCCTCTTAAAGGCTAATAGAAGAAAATTAGAAAACATTATAGATTATATGGATGAAAAAGATATCGATATTATGGGAATAGAAGAGACAAATATATCTGAAAAAGAAGAGAGATTTGCTACTAAGAATAATAATAACTATAGCAGCTTTTGGATATCAGCAGATGAAAATAAGAAAAAAGGGTCAGGAGTTAGCATAATATTAAAGCATACTTGGGAGAAACATATAGCACAAGTTAACAAATATAGTCTATATCTGTTAAAACTGACGCTTTGCTTCAAAAAACTATGCATTATACTAGTAGCAATATATGTAGCACCAAAAAATACAGAAGTACAAGAAAACATTTAGAAATATTTCAAAGAAAAAAGAGAAAAAAAGAAAGAAAGACACCAGTGATATATCATCATGGGGATTTCAATACGAACTTAGATAACAGTCTAACAAAGATCTCAAATAGAAGAAAAGACAAAATGACACAGATTATGGGTATACTAATAGAGAGAAACTTGGTAGATGTTTTTAAGGAATCGAACCCACTAGACACTAAACACACATAGAAAAACAGAAGAATCAAAATCAGAATAGATACAATATAGATAGACAAAGAGTGGAAAAAGGACCTAATCTGAAAAGAAACAGTAGAAGCTGACTTTGTTACAGCAAGTGACCATTATATTATCTGGTGCAGTTTAATCACAGGCATCTATATGCAACATAGAAATGCCGCAAGTACAAAAAGATTAAACAAGAAAAGAGTCAATATAGATATTGAAAATATAAGTAAAGAAGATTAGGAGAGTATAAAACAAAATTAGATAAGGAAATTATCAAGAAAATAGAGAAATTAAAGAAAGAAGAAAAGAAGAATCAAGAAAAGACAAACTTAAGAACAATGAATCAACAATATTTAGAAATTCTTAAAGGAAAGCATATAGAAGACTTATGGAACATCATAGAGTTGAGCATTAGAAAAGCTGCAAGCGCAACCCTTCCAAAGAAAAAGAAAATATCAGAAATCGAAAAAAGGGGTTCTATATCAAAAGTCTTAGTAAAATAAAGAAAAGATATACAGAAGCTGAGAAACTGGTGTAGTAAGTTTAAACATAACAGGAAACAAGAAAAGATAAAATTTGTATAAAGAAAGCTCAAGACCTGATAGATGAGATACAAATAAGATGGAAAATAGAAAGACCCAGTAATGATATAGAAGTCTTAAAGAGCTGGAAAGAAAACCAAGAAACATTCACCTATGAAGAAATAGAAACATGATGAAAAATATTATATAAAGATTGGAAGCAAAGAAGAGAAAAAGCAGAAGAAGAAGAGATTCAGAAATGCATAGAAGCAAGATACAGTATGATTGTCTCAGACCGGAGAAAAATGATTAATAGTCTTCTCGAAAAGCCACATAGAAGTATTAAAATAGATCGCATACTTAAAGAAGAAAATAGGAGGGTAGAACTTCTAATAGAAGAGGAAGAAGTTTTGGAGAAAGTAAAATCTCACTTTGTAAAACAATTCTGAGAAAGAAAAGTGGATCTTAAAAAAATGAATGGAAGATGGAAAAGAATATACAGACCGGCAGAAGAAATTAACATAAAAGACTACAAAGATCTAAAGCAAGAAGTAACACCGAAAGAATGGGAAGAAGCTCTTAAAAACATAAAAACAAATTAGCACCAGGACCAACAGGAATCTTATATCCTTTGCTTAAAGAAGTGGAAAAAGAAGCAAAAGTATTTTTCAGAACATTGGCAAGCAAGTGCTTAATATTAGGTATAATGCCCAAAAAATAGAAATTAGGCATGCTATACCCAATTCCTAAAAGAGAAGATTGGTTATAATCTGAACAATGTGAGACTCATCCTGCTGCTAGAAACATTCCATAAAACGGTAGTCAGAGTTTTAAATACAAGACTGAGTCAAATTCTAAAGGACAAAGAAATATTAAAGGGAAGAAATTTCGCAAGCCTACCAGAAGAAGGAACCGCAGCACCAATATATCTAATCAACTGTTTGCTAGAGAACGCAAGAGAACAGAAGAAAGAAATATAGCTACTTTTTCAAGATATGAAGAAGGCCTTCGACTCAGTTAGTATAAAGATGCTAGATTTAGTATTAGAAAGAATCAAGTTGCCACAAGCCACAAAGAACTTCATTTTACAGCTCTACTATAAAAGAAAGATGAAAGTAATAATAAGCATAGGAAATATAAAGACATTCATTGCAGAAGATGGCATAGACCAAGGGGAGATCATTTCACCTTTAGTATGGAGGATTTTCTATGATTCATTACTAGTAGTGATCTAGGAGCAGAAAAAAGCAGAACACCGAATGGTAGTAAAGTGGCCCAAGAATATTAAAAGCAACACGGTTCAGCAAGAAAGTTTGAAGATAGAGGTAATAGCATATGCAGATGATACTACATACATAGCAAGTACCAAAGAAGACTTGGAAAAGATGATAGAAATCGCAGAAGAGTTCTACAAAATTAATGATATAGAGATAAATTCAAAAAAGTCAGAACTGCTAGTTGTAAAGCCAGGAAAAGAATATAAGAAAAGTGTTGAAAAGATTAACTTCGGCCTGAATAAAGAAGTGATAATAGAAAAAAGAGAAAAGGATCTTACACGCTTTTTGGGAATATAGCTGGCAGCCAAGAATGGATACAAGCAAATTGAAGACATCATCAAGAATGAAGTATATATAGTAACAAAGCAAATTAGAAGAAAGAAGGCCTCTCTTACACATATAGTTTACATAAACAATATGGTTCTTCTACCAAAAATAGAATTTAGAGCACAGCTAAAAATTCTACCAAAGCAACGATGCAACCAACTTCAAAGTCCAATACTGAAGCTAATTAAAAACAAAGCTGAAATGCCAAGCACCACACTGAATACACTGGTAATGCACAAAAAAATAGTAGGTTTACAATCTATTTGGCAACATCAAGTTGCACACCACTTTACAGAGTTGCTTGTTCATCTAAATAATGAACAAGAAGTAGGAATAGCTACATGGCTGCGGCTTAAGAAAGCACAAATTGAACTAAGAAGCTACAAGTGTATTTTAGAGCTAAACAGAAACAACTTAAACGAACTTAAATTACAAAACAATTTAAATGTACAGGTATTAAAAGAGGCCAAAAAATTAAACATCTCATTTCACTCAGAAGAGATTGAAAAGAACCTCAAGCTGGCAGAGGAAGGGACCGAGTTAATAAGCATTCTGAAGAAGGAAGACAAGCAAAAATTCCTCCAGTATAAAAACTACAACATTTTCATTCTAGAGCAGCTGCTTGATAGCAGTGGCACAAAGATGATCATATAGAAACAAATGAAGATATGTAGAGAAACAAAAACAAAAGGAAAGAAGGCAAAGTGGTTCCAAAGGCTAGAAGATGAAGTAATTGAACATAAAAAAACAAGGACAATTAAAAAGAAATACCAGAGAGCAGAAAGAAACAACATAAGCTTAAAAGCAACTTTAACTGAAATTAAGTCAGACCAGAAACTCAGAGAATGGATTCTGTTCAAAGAAGATAAAGGGGCCCTCAAGTTTGGCAAGATAAGAAGGAAATATGGTAAGGAAAGGAGAACACTTATTATAGAACATTGGACAAGAACAGTAAAAAACGAAGAAAGCAAGATCAGAATACAACTATGCAAAGGCTGTCACAGAAATGAAGGTGGAAGAGAACCAATG